TATTCTCTCTCTTTCTCTCTCTCTTGGTTTCACTTCATTCGGAGTGCACACCTATACACGCACGTATGCACGAACGCATACAGATACGTGTACGCTGCGCATATTCGGCAGTTATTTTTAGAATAATTCTGACAGGCGGACATGTGGCAGCATTTCGGATGCAATAACTGCCATCCGGGGATTTATACGTCACGCAAATCGCCAGATAGGATTTGCTGAAGTTTATAGCATCGGTTATAGCACTTTGATCTAATTGTTCATTTATTAAATTGCCACGTGGTATTTTGACATTAAAATAGAATAGATGCAGAACATGCTGCACGGAAAGTGCACGCGACAATTCAAAAACTAAATTTAATTGCTGTATCTCTTGCACCTGCGTTTATTGTAAATTAAAGTTGAGATTAAAGATATACTGTCATTTATTTTCTCTGAGAGAATCAATTTATATATTTCAATAGAAAAGCACATTTCAGTAGTAGAGCGATTAAATGTCAAAAATCTAGGTATATGGTTTTAAATAAAATTTTAATCAAATTGCAAAATTCAATGCTGCAAATTTCACAGTATCCCTAAGGACTCTTTTTAATTCGTCAAAATTTGTGAAATGGAGAAAACAAGAAGTCGCGAGTAATTTTCTTAGTTTTTTATGAACTATCGCGATAATGTGTCTCGTATTTTCGGAAGTATATGTATTTGCTCGCATTTATTACCCGGCTTTTGCATTAGCGCTGCAATTATTCGTTGAATGAAAGCAATTGTGGGATGACGGCGGGACGGACGTGTCGCGTGCATCGGAACGAACCTGATATACCTTGATGCACTTTCTACCTTTCGGTCGTCGCTTGTGACTCGAGTGTACATAACGATTGTAACGTGTTCGGGAATCTATTTTTAGACCGGTCCAAGATTATTTTTAGAAGCGGTCTGCCCACCGGCATCTTAACCCTGACTTACGTTCATGTCCCTACGTTTTCATGAATACCAGGACGATAGGGACACCGCGAAGAAAGGTGGATCATTAGAAGGTGCGTGAAAAAATGTGCAACGTGTGAAACATGCGAGATGTTTTCTATCTGGTTTCTGTGGCCTCTGGCCGTCTACGTGAATTTTTTTACATTTCATTCATTAGTAATAATTTTAAAAATATATAAGACAGTACAAAGATAATTTTTAAATTGTTTGCAGATTTTTTAACTATTTAAATTTGCTTCACCTTACGTCGCTTTATCCCTCAATTAGACACTTGTCATATGATAAAAAATTCAATAACGTTTGAAAAATACATATTGAGCCCGAATATCACAATCATAAATTCAACCGTAAAGATTATTCCGAAGTTTGTGCTCTAGACTGTTGGAGTTTATCGAAATCGAAGACGAAGCTGAACAGTAAACTAGGTATTACACTCAGGACGATGACGCAAGCTTGCGAGCTTCTATTTGCGGCGCAACTACACGCGCAGATCAAACTGCTCTCAAGCTCACGTTTCAATTTCGCGCTGATTGTGTGACATTTCGCATGAATAGTTGTTGAAAAAAGTGAAAATTAGGAAATTAAATTGTTGAAAAAACTGCGAATAATTTAGCAAAAAATTAGTTTCGTTTCGTTTTAATTTTTAGATTATTATTAAGAAATATTTATAAATAATCACATAATATATAATAAGTTCCAGTAGCAAAACATTCCAGTAGCAAAAAAATCAGTAGATTTTCAGATATAGAGAATCTACAAAAATCACCTATACTAGAGAATTAGAAGAGTCTGAAAAAGTAATAGACACGATTTTCAACCATAGCACATGGGGACCAATATATTCTTGAAAGCGACATTTTTATGGTTATAGTTCCATTTTTTCTCTTCACCCAAAACTAAGTGAGAATAGAAAGAAAAAAACAAGGACTTTCTTAATAACTTGTGAAACTTGCACGGCGAAGATTAAAGCAATGGTTTTTATACATTTGACATTAAGAACATGACTCTATAAACTCTATATACATGAATCTAGAAAAAAGATACAAAATGCAATATTTTTTTATATTATCTAAAAATGTGTAAAATGCTATAATAATATTTTAATTTGCTATTAATAATTTTCTCCCTTTCTTTCCTATTTCTCAAAACAAATAAGAATGCAATTCTTTTTTCCTCTTTATCTTTCTTTATTTTATTTCTCTCTCATATATTCTTGATCTTGATCTAATTTTCAAGAAAACATGTATTGCATAATGCCTTCTGTAAATAAGTACATTTTTATAACCACACAATTGCTCTTTTAACGTCCATTGTGTCCAATTGTTTCTCAAAATATTGAGAATATATTTCTAGGATATATTCGAATAAACAATAATGAAAAATCATAATACATAATTTCTTTTAATTAAAAATTATAAAAGTAGTCATTATATTTTCAATTTATAGAAAAATATATCATGTTTTATTTTCAACTGCTTATGAAACGACCCACTTTTCGAAAAGAAGAACGAAATAATATCTATTCTATCTGGGTATTTTATGGGGGAACGACTGTCGCGCGACTCGTAATAAAAATAACGGCGATATATTATGAGATGTATTTATAGAGAAAGAAAAAAGAAGTCCTGGCCCTCTTGCCCAATTGTGTGTGTTTGCAAAGAAGTTAAAGTTCATTATAATTATTTTCTCTGCCAAAATGTCAAAGAAATCATTACTCGATAAGTCGCTCACAGGATATTTCGCTCCGTTATTCAATTATTGTATTTGTTCCTCATCGATGATAATGAAATGATGCGTTTGTTTTAATGTTTCAATAATTAATTCTTTGTAATAATTCGTTGCATTTAATGTGTCCAAATAATTTAACGAAAGCAATGAATATCTTGCTCCATTTTAATTTTTTGAATATCGAAGAATTAAATCTGAGATTGCCTCTTTTTATCCTGAATTATTTTCATGTTTTTTAAATCTTTATTTGTTTAATTATATACAATAATTCTTTTAGGTTTATCTTCAATCTCCTATACATAAAAAATATTAAAATTATTACTCATACAAAAAATCAAATTAAAATTAAATAATTACAGGAGTTTTTTCCTGTAATACATATATATTTAAATTAGTAATATTTAGCTCAGATTAATTCTTCCTTAATTTTATTCCCAATTACATTGATACGACACACAGAAGCCTTTGTTAATCTGGCCTTCATCATCATCATCATCATCGTCGCGATCGAGCTCGTAATTAGCATGTTCGATAAGAAGAACGCCAGCGAGATTGCGAGGAGAGTTTGATTTTTTCTTTTGAATACTTCTGTTTCTCTTTAACATTTTTTACTACCCTCTTTTCGTCTCTTCATATTGCCGACAACGAGTCTCTAACGTGAATGGATGCACAGTGTCCGACATTCGAGGCGTAATGACGCGCATGCACTTAAATATAGTGGCTCTGGAGTCTGGATACAAGGGAGAAGAGGAGAGATCCAATCCGACGTCTCGTAAAAATAGATTCGAGATTCGAGACGAGAGCTTCAAATATCACCACTAATCAATCCTTTAATTTTGCTATAATCTGATTATAGTACATTTTTTATATACTATAGATTATATAGTATATTTGATTAACATAGGAACAATTAAAAACCGTGCTCTTTTCATAAAGCGTATATCAAATGCTGTTGTTAATTTGAGAGAAAATATAAATAAATCGAATAATCTAAATTTATGAATCTGATTAATTCAGATCATTCAACCTATGAGTAACACTCCGGAAACACAAACTTCTATATTCGAAAATATGATTTACTGATTGTGTGACAGATTTGTATCAAATAAATCTCGTGAAATGTGCATTTTCATCAAATTATACTGATGTGCAAATGCGGAATTTATTTTCTTCTTTAAATTAGTTGAATGTAAATATATTATATTATATTTAATATATTATATTTAAAAATTAATAAATAATTGTCACCGTAAGTGGTGAATAAAATAATAATTTATATTTGTATTATTTGTAATTATATAAATTAATCAATCGCATAGATTGATAAATGCTAATTGCAGTAACTGTAAGAAATAATCGCGTTTGGCATCTTCTAGTACCTGTTGCGATCATATTTCGAGAATACACATACGAAACAGCTCGGACTGCTATTTTTCAGCTCGAGTTCTGCCGCATGAATAACAACAAGATAACCGAGTGTAAACAATAACGCGCTCCACGAAGGCCGAACACATGTAAATTATAACATTTATGAAATTAACGCGCAATAAAAAAATTTATTATTAATTTAGTAGTTGATTCTCGTTATTTGATCATTTTTACAATTTCATGTATTATGCTGTCAATCCGAAGATGGCTAAAATTTATTAAAAGCTCAAAACGCAATGTAAATATAATTGAATCTTAAATATGCTAAATAAGCATATTTGATTAAATAATTATTCTTTATAACATACTTCGATAATTCACCATTACCATACGATTATGACAAATATCGCGAAATGCCAAATACGATCATTCTGCAACCCTAAGTCGATTAGAAAATTAGTTCGTACCAATAATTAATTTTTACGATCGACTATTCGTAAGAGTTTTGATGATTATATATCAAAGTAGATATTTCTCACAAATATATTCATTTGAAATAGGAATCAAAGTGACAGAAAATATACTGATTTACTCTTTTTTAAGACTAAGAGAAAATGCAGAATTAAACAAATCGGACTTTTTTAAGTAAATTATTTTTAATTGCAAAAAATAAAAATAAATTAATGATTGAAGACATCCATGATTCTAACCAAGTTTCTTTAAATTTTAATTACGTACTGTTGCTATATCTTTTTACTGTCAATCATATTTATATGATATATTAAAATAATATGTAATTATTGGTGAATTTAAATTATAATTATAATGCATGATTGCAGAATCAAATTGTATATTTAGTATATTACTATTTAATTATTAAATTCAGATTTCTCTCGACATAAATCTAAGTCAGTCTGTTTTTATTGCAGGTTAATACTGGTTCCCCTGCGGAAGCTGCTGGTCTTAAAGCTGGCGATGCGGTTATTAAAGTCAACACCACCGATACGTATAATTTAAGGCATAAAGACGCGCAGGATGTCATAGTCAAGGCCGGAAATAATTTTGAACTGACTGTTCAAAGGTGAGACGATAAGCATAATAAAGTTGCGATAAACGAATGATTCAATATTGAAAAATATCGCCACGTCAAAGGTTGAGCAGTAATGGTCTTTAATCGACTGTTTAATCAATTGTCAGCAAAAATATTATCGTGGCCATTACTGACCGATTATTATTGTAAAGATAATAATCATTAATGACATGTACTTACCATATAAACTTGCTATTTTTTCAGCAAATTTGCTTTTCCAATTTTTAAATAAATTGATATATTATTTTCGCGATATTAAAATATGATGATTTTATGAAACGAGTATTTTGATAATATAAAACTGCAACGATGTATAATTGGAAGCCCACCAACGTCTGTTAACGAACGATATAAATTATCATTATAGAGGTGGCAGTACCTGGAAACCGCATGTGACGCCCGCAACCGCAAACCTGCCGTCTCCGATACATACTGCCTCCGCGGGTAATGTTGCACCAGTCACAAAGACCTCTTTGGCAGCGAAGAAACAGGACGGAGCTCACATCGGTGGCGGACACAACTTTAGCCCCAAGCCATTCGTTAGTATCGAGCGTTTATCCGCGTCTGTTCCCGCCGTACCAATTCTGCAACAAAAACATGAGAGGCGGTTAGTTATTTATTTCTCTGCACTATGTGGGACATAATAATTTTCAGCTGAATGGCACTGGCGACGGTCCAATTAAATCCATCGTGAACAAACAGTACAACAGCCCCGTAGCGATCTACAGCGAGGAAACCATCGCGGAGACACTATCGGCTCAAGCGGAAGTTCTTGCCGGAGGTGTCCTTGGGTAAAATTGCGATACCAGATATAACGAAATACAATTGATGGTGGGACTAAAATCGTTTCGCTTTGAAATTATTTTCAAATCAGATTTACACAATCGACAACGTAATCAAATTAATAATCGACGAGTAGAAAAACTGCAAATATTAAGAGTCTATAAAAGAAATCTGTAGAATTTAATATATAATTCGAGAGAATAACTTTTGTTTTCTTAGTCCCGCCAACTATTAAATTTATCAATTGAATATAATAAAAATAAATTATTGATGATGCAAATATATTGCAGGGTAAATTTCAAGAAGAACGAGAAAAACTACAATGCCGAGAATAGCGAGGTTTTCAAAATGGTCCAGGAAGCGGACAAAGAACCAAAGACCCCAGAACCTGGTTAGTATTCATTCATTTTACTTCGATGATATATGACATATCAGTTTTTTAAGGAGTTAAAGATTGAGAATTTTAATGCATTTTAATTAATGTATAATTGTTCTTACTATACATAGCTAAGTATACAAGTTATAAAAGATCACTGAAGAGCGTATTGCATACAACTCATTATTCATATATTTTTGATGTTAATTTTCAAAATTATCAAAATTATCAAAATTTTTCTGGACAGATTATTGCAGGTAAAATAATTTATTATATCTACAACGATATATTGTTGCAGCTTTTTCGATTCTTGCGATCGATTTTGTGACAATTTTAATTTGTATATAAAAGAATTGTGTGAAAAATAGATCAAATAAGTTACAAGTTTCTTTTTAAGAGAATCAAATTGTCTGCTCGATAATCTAATTGAAAATACCGAAATGTATAAAAAATTGCGTTCTTCGGCGATCGATCGGGTGGACCAGAATCGGCTCTAGCCGGCCCATTGCATGCCCATACGATAACTTGTTTGCGAAATAGCGGAGCCAAATATCGTGAGCGGCGTGATAACGCCGTCCTCGCCCGCCCTGACAGGACTGAGGCCAGTCCAAGCACCGGAAACAAAGCCGCAGCCGTCGACGCCGCAGACGAGCTTACCACCAGGACAGAACATTTGTGCCGAGTGCGAGAGGCTCATCGTGTAAGTTTACATGATCCGGGACGCGTTTCTTTTATTTTCAGAAAATAGATATCGGCGAGAGGAAGGTAGTAGTTCCCGGTGGTCTCCATCGCGTTCCACGACGATAACCACTTCCGACTTCCGGACATATCAAGTGTCATATGCGGATTTCTAGTTCTCAGATTAAAGCTTACGTTATCCATGATTTGTAATATTAATTTTGGTTCATTTAATTTATATAATTTATATAATTTATTTAATTTATATAATTTACTATCACAATATTATTCTGAAATTTTTGCAACAGTAAGTTGAAGAACTGCCTTTTAGTCTGAGAATTGAGAAACTCGCGCGCGATAAATTGGCGAACGCGATTATTGCCGAAGGGCTTCATCGAGTGATCGCTTCCGATCCGACATTTTCCCGGCCTAGTTGTCATCGCGTTTTTTTCTCTACTTCCCTGTCGTAGTTTCTTCAAGGACAGAATTTTACTCCTCCGTGAGCCACGCGGTTGGCGGAAGGGCCACTTCACCGAGATCACCCACGCCTCTGTTTCATGCTATGGGCGGGGGTGGTGGTGCGACTGACGATAGCAGGAACCTCGTATCGCCGGACGAATCGAGGAATCCGGAAACATCGCAACAGCAAAAGCAGGAATCTTCCGCCGGGTCGGGCTCATCGACGCCGGGCGGTGTCGTTTGTAACAACTGCGACCGATTGATCGTGTAACTATTTACGAGCAAGACTCTTGCCACCCTTGTGTGCACGAGACGGCCGCGGCGGGTTTTTCATTTTGACGTCTTCGAGATGGTTCCATTCTTATATTGAAAGCGAATTGCGACATGATTTATTAATTTTTAGGAATTATTTATTTGGTAGTGCGAAATTTCATCCATCGATACAAACATTCAAAAATGAATATTAATCAGGAAAATTCTCTTCAAATTATTACATTTTTAAGACACAGAGCTAATCTTAATTAGAAATCTGCAGAAATATATCATTATTATTTTAGCGAGTTATTAATAAAATTATCAATAATGACGATCATCAATTTCAACAACAAATCTCAACTAACAAATCAATATTATATTAATGAAAATTTAAATTAAGATTAATGAGAGATATATTGGATCGATTAATATTTTTTAAGTTAATCTCTTCAGAATATCAATAATATATGCATACAGATTATAATTTGTAATTTAATTTAAAATGGAAGAATGTACAAATAATGGTTAAACGCTATCATTGAAGCATAATATAATTTAACTCTTATTTATACCAATGGTCCTTCTCATTGATTGATTTAGATTTAAAAGTTTTTCCATTAATATTTATAATTTAATATATATGTCGTAATCGTTCTCAATTAGAATTATACATCTCGTACAATAGTCAAAAAATTCCAAAAACGATGCCGTTTGAATTGCTCGATTATCGTACGCTGATATCATCTGAAAGACTCCGTTTCTAAGAAAAGTATGCACTGTTTCTTCTAATTTTAATAATCGAAATTAGATAAAACTATTTATAGAAAAATGCAGGAATATATATAACATATAAATACATATAAATACAAACACAGACGTGTATGTAATATATGCAAGTATATGTGTATATACATGTATTATGAAACTCCAAAATATATGAAAAGTAAATTAGTAAATTAACAAGAGAATAAAATAAATTTTAAAAATTACAAGAAAAAGTGCACATTTTTCCTTTGATGAATTCGGAGCACGCCTTTCTCTGCCGTTTCTTTTCGTCAACATCGCTTCTTCAAAAAAGCGACTATATCAATCGTTGTGCATTTTTGTCACTGTTGTGTCAGGACAAATTTCGATCATTTGTAATCATTCAAGCTTACAGCTTACAACCTACTGGAAGTCGTATCTGGGCGAGACAAAAATTTCTCTTTTGCTCGCAGCTTGAATGCAGCCCTATCTAAATGTCTTTTCACTCTCTGCACTCTTAATGGCACCTTTTCAACGCATTTACAGCACACTGAATGATTATAGCAACGTAAAAATGCTTTCGATGTTGTGAATATTTTTGTGGATTTTTATTTTTGTCGTATTTTTATATATAAAATCTTTTTATATTTTTTTTATTACTTTACTATCAAATAGCGAAAAGTGTCATTTTTTATTCAAAAATTTACAAACAATATTTTAGTCTCTCGATGAGAAGATATCTAAAATTATATACTTATTTTTTTATCAATTTTTTGGACCAATATAGAAATTATATTAAAAAATGTGTTTTCTTAAAAAATGAATATTATACTATGTAACAATATTTTATACTACACTTCAAAATATTACATCTTTTAGAAATTAATTTAGATTAGTTATTTTTATCAATATTATTTTAGAACTATTCACTTTGCTACAGAGATGAATTTTAAACAAATTCTTTGTAGCTTTACTCGTTTCATCGTTCTCATTCGTCGAACATAAATTTCATGGAGATCATAATACAGATAGTTATTTTCGGCCTCCTTCGTCGAGGTATCGAGTTTCCTCTATCTTTCTCTCGTTTTAAACTCGAGTGAATAGTAATAAAATATAAAACTCGTGGCACATCCGATGCGCCATTATCTCGCCCTGTATTGTTGTTATATTAAAGAACATAAATTACTGTAATGAGATGGAAAAAACTGGATCGCATTATTAACTTGCTATTTTTCCTTAGAGGTGTCTTCGTCAGGATCAAGGATAAAAATCTACACGTCGAATGTTTCAAGTGCTCGACTTGCGGCACATCCTTGAAGAATGTCGGTTATTACAATATCAATAACAAATTGTACTGTGACATTCACGCGAAACTCGTCGCTAGGCAAGGTGCACCAGCTGGTCTCGTACCCCTTACTATTCCTCCACCGTAAGTATTACAATGTAATATACTTGAGTATTGCATACTTTGAAAATTTAAGACATAATTTTACGAGAAATAAAAATAAAAATAAAATGACAGTCTCTTATAAAAAAAATACAAGTAAAATAAAAATAAATTTAAACAGAAAGATGAACTTTGATAATTAAATTTAAAAAATAAATTCCTTGCATTTTCGACAGAGGTGGCAAAGCACCAGCTAGCACTATTAGCGCGGCATTGGCGAATGCACCTTTATCGCCGCCTCTCAGCAATCACGGATCGTCGCCTCAGCCATTCTCCGTAAGTTGCTTCATCATAATTTCATTCTCTTTACGAGGCATGATCGCGGGCCGATTTTTTCGCGCACGCATTTTCTTGTCTGTTTTGGTATGGCTTATGAAGCGAGTATTTTGCATTAAGCGTGTGGCTTTGCTACACTCAAATGTGATTTTATGACGCTTTTTATGACCGCGAGTCGAGCAAAGGTTAAAACTTCTGACGCATTAACATTTATTTTTTCAAATCATTCTGAGGAAATAATGGACATACAATGCAAATTTTTTATTTTCTTAAAAAAACTTCAAATTCGTAAGAAGTCAATAATCTGTCATAATAATCATTCTGTTCAAAAGTTCAATTTTTAATTATTAAAGTTAATTATTAAATCTGTGAGAATAACTATATTCTACAAAATTATTTTTATGATTAAAAGGACATGCTAGACTATTTAATTATGTCAACATATGCATATTATTAAAAATATTTTAGCGCGCGTGATGTGTTTTTCGAACATTAATATCGCATTTTTACAAAATCGATAGGAATATCTGAAGAGTCATTATAACTATGCTTGACATTTTAATAAAATATAAATTCGCGATCATTTGTAATCGTTGATTATTAAATTTCGAATAATCGCGAATGATGTTTATATCGCAATTGATTTAATTTCGACGACACGTGCTTATTTTGAGAATTTAACAAGTGTGGTCTTTGCTTGGCACTAATCGCTTTTCTAGGCGTGCAATCGTACCAGCCCCGATTCCGGATCCCAGTGTACGTGGCGATCGACCTCGAATATGAACGGATGCATGAGGAACGGCGAGTGCAACGGCGAATCAAAAACGTATACGAGCACAATCACCATCCAAACAGGTGGCACAGAGGTTGGCAATGTGCTCAAAAATTTCACTTCTGTATTTGCTCATGCTAAAGTACCTCTAACATCCTTTCATCATAACTATCTTACATAAGACTACATCCTATAGAAATCAACGAAATACACTCTAATTATATAATATAATAATATATAGCATCAAAATTCTCATATAGAATCTTTTTCTAAAGTCTTAATATTCATGTAATATCATATATGTATAAATATCGTCTATTATAATATAAAATTTAGAAATGGTAATAGTTGTAATTCAATTTTTATATATAGTATCTGACACACGTATCGATTTATTTTTTAAATAATCGATATATTAACCATCATCATATGGAAATTGTTTAATGAATCAGATGTTAGTTGCAAAACTGATTAATTAGTCATCGACGAGTCATTTCACCGGAATGTCCTTGCGAACGTCAGCTTCCTCGACGACTACTCTAACTCGACCATCCAATTATACTAATCTTTAATTCGCGACTGATTATTTCGATCTCATGACTAATTAGTCTGTCGTAATTGGCAGCATTCCTAATGATGTTTCTTTTCTCTCTTTTTACCCTCTCTCCTGTTCATTTTTAATTGTTCGTCCCACGTGACATCGATGTATTGTTTTATCGCATTGCAGCCTACCACCCGCCTTGGCACCTCGCCTGTCGACCCACCCAGCTTACGATCAGTTCAGGTAAAGTCCTAGTACGATTCGTAACGCTCTCGTCAATCTCCTCGATCGCCCTTCAAAATCGTCAGTATTTCCCGACGATTCCGAAAAAATCGATGCTGTGCGAAACGTTGTTGCCTTTATATAATGTCGCGAAATTAATGAGAGTTTTCGTCATTGAAAATTGAATTGAAGATCAATTTAGTAATGCCTCGCTTGTGCGATTAGAAATGATTAATCTTTGAACTTTTTCACATCCCGACCATAGTGTATCTTTTTTCCCTTATTGTCGTAAAAGCATGAAAAGTTAAAACTGCTAAATGATTCTTTTATCACGCATGTGCTCGTATATAGAGGATACTTTTTTATTTATTATTTAAATAAAAATTCATAAGTTGATATGCATATTTAAAAAGCAACGAAATATTAGTTTGGACTATATGCTATAATTTGATATATATTTTTCTAAAGTCTAGTAATATGGTGTACGCATACTTTTATAGTTTTTATAGTTTTATGATTCTAAAAAGTTAAAAAAAAAAAGAATAACTATCATCACATTATCGACAATTTTTTTTTAAACGTCATGCACTGATAAAATGTATGCCGTACTTTATGTGATTTTTCTAGCAGAGATAATACTTTTTAATGTAGAAGGAACGTACAAAGTTCCTTTGCACGATATGGGTCACTGATTAACTTATCGCACTTTTGCATTAGGCGGTATCAAGGTACCAAAATCTCGCACATTATTCGGTACTATAAAACTTTTGCAATCTATTAAATGGATTAATTATGGATAGTTATATGCATATATGTAACTTTTATTTCTCCTATGAAACAAGTGCTATTTTATTTTATTTATTTAATATAAAGATAAATGATTTATCTTATATAGATTTATCTAATATGAAAGAAGATAATTTTTTCTAATTTAATAAATGATTAAAATATCTCTTTATAAAAATGTTATGCAAAGAAAACATTCCATTTCTCATATAAAAAATTGCATCAAAATGTATATTATAATGAGTGCAATTAAGAGAATGTTTATGAATTTATAGGCACCAACGAGCAACAATCTTATTGGTCCTAAACCCTTCGGTGGATCGAGTGGTTTTTCATCAAATCTATCCCCGATTCCAACATCAAATATCGGTACTTTGCCACGTCCTCAGAGCCAGACTGTGACAGGTAAAAATTAATTTTACTATTAATATGAAAAGATCCGATAATAAATTTTGAAAAATTAGTGCAAGGGCGCGAGAGTGATGGGAATTGATTTATCCCATAAAATTGACGTTTGCTAACATCAAATCACACAAAATCTACGCGTAAATCTATTTCTAATTCAGATCACATTATATGCAAATATTACAACTACAAAGACAAAGAATTATAAACGAATGTGATGAAATCACATTCAAGGTATTTAAATATGTACATATTAAGATCCCAAATTCTTGCGAAGTTGAAATATTCGAATCGCGAGCAACAACGAATACAGAAAAGACAGCCTTTCTCTATCATCTTCTTCCTTAATTTCTTTTTTCATTTGAGAAATTTGCGTCGTTCTCATTTCGAAAAATTCGAAGGAGTGATCTTGTAATCGATCCAAGATAATCACGATCTCATCTCGTGCGTCCTTGGCTTAACTTTGCCTTCGATTCTTGCAAATAGGTCGATACTCTACCCTGCCAAAGCCAAAAAGTTCGCCTTTCAGAGGTACGACGAATAGATTAGAGCCGCCGGTTGACCGAGTTTCGAGCTTTGGCTGATACGCCTCCCTTGGCTTACATCCTCACATTTTATATCACTCTTTCACCTTTGCACGCAGCTCGTATATCGATCGATCGATCAATCATTGATTCTTGGTGGTTCGTATCGTATAATATCTTTTTAAGTAGAAAGAAAGAAAAGAAGAATAGGAGGAATTTTCTCCAAATTCTCAATCAACAGAACATTTTTCGGCTCCTTATCGTTCGTCGTTATCTCGACGACGACGGCGAACTCTGAGAGCTATGACAGTTTGTAGCGATCTTCCGACATGCACTTTGATTCCTTTTTCACATTTTATCAGTTTTTGCGATGCAAAATTGTCTTAGATTCATTAAGAGGAAAATTTAAATTAAAAATAATAATTTCATATTTAATTATAATATTTATATACAGGCATGATAAAAAAATAATAAAAGTTCTTTCTGGTAATTTTTCTCGATTTTTGTATAATATTATTGTATATTTTATGTATATGATTCCTCTTTTTAACAATTTATTCATATTAAGAAAAAAAGTAAATTTTATATTGTTAATTTGATTGACAAAATTTTTATTTTATTATTACGATTATTATTTGAGAAAATGTTATGCTCATCGGCAACTTTTTTGGATGATAATCAATCGCCACATTCCTTTGTCAGGTTTCATCGCGCGTTATCATACCTCTCTTTCCGTGCATAATCTTTCTTTTATCTTTTTTCAGCCGGTCCGTCTTTCAACCCGAAACCCCGACCCTTCTCCCTTACATTCGCATGAATCAATAGCTCTCGATGCCGTCGTCGTCGTCGTCATGCTGGCAACCAAAACGTAAACACGATCCAGATAATAAAAGTGCCAGGCTTTAAAAATTCATTTCGCTGCTCATGATTTTTCTTTCGAATCTTTGAAAATTTTTAATGCTTTTCAATAATTAAGAAATGAAGAAGAGAAGAATTTTCTCTAGCTGTTTAATATATATATTGATTAGTTTATCATCGTAATATTGCAATGCTAATGAATGCGTTCTTTTATGCACGGAATCATTTCCGTTTTACCTCTTCCGAGACACGAGAAAGAAAATTGTGAGTCAGCCCATACACTTAATGATACTTTTAAAATTGCGCTTGATGACAATTCATATTGTTATCAATTCAGAATATTGAATGAATAAATGCAGATGCGAAATAAAGTACACGTTTTTTTCGTTGAACGAATGCACGTTTTTGATATTTTTATTGTGCCGTAATTTCTTCAATATTCAGTTACGCGAATTGATATTTAATGGTGTTTTTCTTCTTCGCTTCACATCGATGCTCTCAAAATGCATTCGAAAAGTATCGATGTTAATATGCATTATCTTCGCAGATATATTTTTACTACTTACGATCGAAAAAATCGATGTTTAACACTCGCAGGCTCGCAGCTTTCACGCTGCTCTATTTTCGAGTGTCAAGTGACTATTAAGAATGCACAGTTACTGATTTAGATACTAACAATTAAAAATCTTCAAAAATAAATTTTCATAATGTCTTATAGTATCGCTTCTTAATTTAGCATCGGGCTGTGCTCGTGGTTTCATTCCACCGAAAATAGCCAGACTAAAATGCATTTTTTTTCAGACACGTAATAAATGTATAAATATTTTTAATATGTATGTATATATGTCAAATTAAAAATATTTATTTATATATTGTATATATACACATATATATATATATATATATATATATATATATATGTGTGTGTGTGTGTGTACATATATCTTATATATATAATATGTATATAATTTATACATATTATTTATTATTTACACATATACATATATATATATATATATATAACATATATGTAAACAAGTATTTGTAATAATGTATTATTGAGTGTTATCATCTGAGAATTATTTGGCAAGTTTAAATTGCGTTTGCATATTTAAAACACATAATTTCACGGATTTGGCAGAAAAGTCGAAGAGACCACGGGCGCGCGCGATTTATCGTGCTTTTTACTTACGGCAGATTTCTCTGTTTTTTTTTGTTTTGTTTGTTCTATCTAACGTGTCACGACGAATCTAATCCCATTACTCATCCTCAACAAACGCATGCATCCATACATTTTTCGTGTCGTGTACATCTGTTTTTACTCTCCTACGTTTTCGAACTGATCCCTCTCTCTGTCATCCATCGCGTATTTATCGCCTCAGAAATTCCCAGTAGTGAAACTTACGAAAGGTCCTACTATTACGAGATCGCGGAGAGTACAAGAGACCAGTTTTCTCGTCCTGGCTCTGCAAAATCCCGTCGGAATCTTATGTGGCCGCCTCCAAAACCCCTCGAAGATATCACATATCCTACCGCTAGTCCCATCTATATCAATCCAAATTCTGTCCTCGACAGAAAGTGCCAACAGGCGATCAAAGAGAAACGTGCCAGCATTGAAGCTTGCGAGCGAGCTTTGAGCTATAGAGCAGAAAAACATCGAAACCATTGGGAGATCGAAAGAACGTCGATAGAGCACGGAATTGATACAATGGATCGAGTGAGTTGTCCCGGACAACCGATGTACCAACGCGTCGAGCTGGTAGATTTCAACCGAAATTCTCGAGCGGATGTGACGACATCGAGGCCAAGTTCGACCGACAGCGTCCGAAGATCGTTGACGCCTACCAGAATCGTTCAACCGATTCCGAAACCGTGGACTGCAACTGTCAGCGGTGGCGGTACCAATCTTTACGAGCAGAGTTACGCGATACAGCGGGAAGAACAGCCTGGACAAGTCTGCAGTAAGAAGTTCGTGCAACGGGAGATCTGTCGGGAAAGTATATCGGGCGGCAAGGAACAGCGAGCGTATAAAACGGAAATCTGTCGGCAAACCATCTGCTCGAAACCACCCTTGCCGATACCTAAGCAGGAACCAGCGGAAGTGGAGAAGGAAGTCGATACCGAGATTATTGATCTGAGAGACGATGAGACGGACGACGCGGAAGCTTCGAAGGGAATCCAGGGCGAACACGATTTTATCACCGAGACAGCTGAAGAGACCGTGAACGGTATGCATGTGAAGCAGTCGGCGACCTTCGAAAAAACCATGGAAAGAGTGTCCTCGCCGGAGAGATCTAGTACGCCGATGATTGAGAAGATGGAAGATGCGACGGAATCTCAATGCATTGCGAAAAGAACCGAGACACATATTAATCGGAAAGTGGAGGATACGGCGGAAGAACGGACTATTGAAGAATCCGCTGAGACGGTTACATCAGCCATCGATGCTCAACAGATGTTGGAGAAGGTCAAGCAAGAGGAAGAGGAAAGAATGAAAGAAGAGGAAGAAGAAGAGCGAAAGAAGGAAGAAGAAGAAAAGAAAAGGCGGGAAGAAGAAGAGCAAAAACGTCAGGAAGAAGCAGAGAGAAAAAAACAAGAAGAAGAGAAAGCCAAGAAGCATGTGACTTTCAATGAAGAAGATGAAGAGGTTGAAGAAGTGCGAGAACAACCGCTGGGCAGGACTGTCGTACGAGAGGAACGAATTACGGAATCGGATGGATCCACTCCAGGACGTTGCAAGGTCACGAAGGAGACCTATGAAGAGATCACCGAGGAGGTTCTGGTCCATGAACGCGTGAGAAGAAAAAAAGCTGTAGAAGACGAGCGTAGAAAGAGTTTACGGGAACAAGTGGAGGTTCATCAGAGCCTTCGAGATCAACAAGCACCGGAGAGACGGAATGTCGTTGCGAGGTACAGCCAGCAGCCTCAGGAGACCATGGAGACGTGCAAGAAAAAAGTGCAGTTCTTGAAGGAGACGGAAACGGGACCGAAACCTTTGCCGGATTCATCCGTAAAAAATTCCACGCCGAAGGAATGGAAATCCGAGATGGTGAACGCTTTGACAACTGCGCCTGATCGATCTTACGCATCCTTAAACGCCACTTCTAGCGTAAAAGAACTTTACACCGAGGAAACTATTTATCTTCATAAATGTCGACCTAAACCACCCAAAAAAGAGCCTCGACCAATCTCGCCCTTTCAGCAAGCGTTGACGATAGCGCCCGAACGATCCTATACTCCTTTGAGTCGCGAAATCGGGCCGGAAGATCAGCAGATCGCCGGTAGATCGCAGACTCCGAGTCTTCAAGGTCAAAATGGTCACTGCCCGCCGTTGAATATTCTGTACGGCAACGAGGATACGACAAAAGAATCTTATTTTGCACGAGAGCAATGTGTCAAACAGAAAGTTAAAGAATCCGGACCACGACCTTTGCCTACACCGCCGCCCGATCATCGTCTGAGAGATTCTTCAGCATCGCCTGGAAAGAGATTCCGACCAGAAACGTCAAAACCGATTACGGCTGGTCTGAAAAAACCGGACGCTATACCGGGGTACCAGAAAAATCTAGTAACAATGAAGTGGGATCCGGTGGAAGGTCAGCCATTTATTCCTAGCAGAACGCCTACTCCGACACCTGCTAGATCTAAATCACCTGCTCAAGGACCACCCGAGCCACCAGCTTGTTACGTAAAAACTGCAGCCCCGAAGGTTCGAGAGGATCCACCACCGTCGAAACGCGGCGGATCGGTTCATTTTCCGTCGCGCAAGACTATTTCTTATCACGTGGAGGAGGATACTGACCACGGACATAAAAAGGAAGAGTATTCCGCTTCGAGGACCGTCAATTACGACGAGAAGGAGACAAGCAGTCTTGACGCGGGTCCGACCGACGCGCTGTACGCTCAGTTTCAGGAAACAAGATGCATGACCAGCGAGGAAACCAACGAGCAACAAAACACTCAAGTGAAGAGAGCTCTTCAGGTAGTCGAGGATTACGAAAAATGCGAACGGAAGAATATATTGCCACCGCAAAGTACGAAAGCAAGCGTCTGCGCCATCAGCAAAGTGAGTCACACGAAGCCTACCTTGACGTGCCCTATGATATCACAAAGCAGTTCTGCGTCGAACAGACAGCCGACGTACAACAGTTCGACAGAAGTGCGTCATGTGCAATACGGGATTCCCTCGAAGTCTTGTTCGGAGACCGGGGTGACCGTTCTACCTTGCAAAGCGCATTCGGATCGTGGTACCAAGGCCGGCGTCGTCGTGGTACCCTGCGAGGATTCCCAAACCGCCTGTCCTAAATCCGGAATCTACGTGACGTCTACGAACGACCGGTCGGGCGTGTGCGTGTCTCCGTGTTTCGATATGCGACCTGGTACCTGTGGTCAACCTTCGGGCAGCTGCGGTCGCGAATCAGCCTGCGACTTCAACATCCCCGGTTGTCCTAATAATGCGAATGTCTGCGTTACTCCATGCGCGGACGGTTCCGTCTGCGTGGCACCCTGCAAGAAGCCTGGTCCGAATCAGTCGAGGACGAATCTGCCTTTTCCTCAAATCCCGCTTCCTTATGACGAAACTCCTCCGCCGGTTCCTCAACACTCAGCCCCGAACTTCAAGCCTCGCACTAACCTGAGTGGACAACTTGCGCGACTGACCACTAAGAACGGCCAACGAAACGTGCAGACGATACAGCTTTACAAGCCGTTCGAGCCCCAGGCGCAAAATCAGCTTCCTCAGAAAAACTACAGCGAGAGTACTTACTGCCATACTCAAAGCTACCATTGCGAATCCGGCAATCATTGTCAGAATAACCGAAACCAGATCCATTGTGATCCTCTTAGTAAGACCCAGAATTTAGTAGACCCACCAAATTTGTCGTCCCATCCGGATATAGGTACCGGAGTCGGCGGCCCCGGAGTTGGCGCAAGCTCCAAGAGCGGATCATTTGCCGGTAGCAGCGCGCCTAAACGCGGACGCGGCATTCTGAATCAGGCTGTCGGAGCGGGATCGCGTATACCACTATGCGCTCACTGCAATTCATACGTCAGGTACTCGGAACTGATTGTCCAGCTCGATGATTATGATGCCTGCTATTTTCAATGTTGTTTTTCGTATCTGTTTTGCTTCCAATATTTTTTCTCCTCAATCTTTGTTTTCGCATTGATATGTGTCTATGTGTATGTGTGTATCTTTTTCTGTTTTTTTTTAGGTGCTGTATTTATTGTTGCTGAAGAGTCTTTTCGTTTTAAATCGTTCGAAAAATTTATTTCATAAAATGCCCATATATTTTTTGCACTGCCGCGCTAATGCGTTTAAATATATTTCTTAAATTATGTTTTACATTTCTAAGTGCTGAATTATTATCTAATCACTTTGAACCACTTTAAAAAATGCGCTAAATATATTGTAACTATAAAAAAATTATTATTATATTGAATGCAATGTTCTTTTGAAACTGTTTCTTATTTAATTTTAATTAAAGTAAAACTTCAGATTATCAAATTAATATTTTAGATATATTGTAAATTTTGTGCTATAATTTTAATTCATCAGTACATATATAATTTTATAATTTTAATTCTATAATTATATATATATATAATTTTATAATTTTAATTTTATAATTTTAATTCATATTTAATTAATATGATTTATGTATAAACATATAGCTTACGCAAAACTTTTTCGTCGTATTTAAAACGCTTGAAAATCTATATTTTTGCTTATCCAAGTGATGTCTACGAGTTTATTGTTTGTACTATAATTACCTAACTGCAACTTAAATAACAATTGATTTCCGTTGCACGTTGTTGACAGCTAACGGAGAAAATACTAATCACAAGTCGAGTAATCACAATGGCTTCACCCTAAAGCCAGTGTGCTGTAAAGGCAACAAAGAGTGCATAAGGTTTGTATAAAAAGTCTGCTTTACGCGTAAATGTTCATTAACACTGATATTTTGAAAAATACACGGAGAGAATTTTCTCTTAGAATTTACCCTGAAAATCATGGTAATCGTGGGATAATATGATGTTGGAAGAATTTTGTAAGAATTTCTCTGATTAATATTTACCACAATAAAAATATTAATATGTACATAGTAAAATTAATCGAGTATATTTTTTATCTTATTGTGGTAGATATTAATATTTTTATTGTGGTAAATATTAATCAGAAAAACTCTTATAAAATTCTTCCAATATTATATTGTTTCACGATTACCATGATTTTCAGGGTAAATTTTAAGAGAAAATTCTCTCTGTGTATAATATAACCCTTGTGTTCAGCTTTATTATTATTGTAAAATATCAGCTTATTATGCTTTGTTCATAGCTAAAAAATACTACCTAATATTGTCTCATGATAATTATAAAATAAATAAATTAATTAATTTTATATATATTAATTACTACATTAATTACAATATAATCACAGAGGGCCCTTCATCACTGCTTTGGGTCAAATCTGGTGCCCCGATCACTTTGTCTGTGTGAACGCTCAATGCCGTCGTCCTCTTCAGGACATCGGTTTTGTCGAGGAAAAAGGACAGCTCTACTGCGAATACTGCTTTGAGAAATTTATCGCGCCCTCGTGTAACAAATGCAACAACAAGATCAGGGGCGTAAGTATACCGCAATTTATTTAATGACGCGCGATTGTCAAATGATGATAATTCGATTAATTAATCATTTCTTTTAATATTCAGGACTGTTTGAACGCAATTGGAAAGCACTTCCACCCTGAATGTTTCAATTGCGCCTATTGTGGCAAGCTTTTTGGCAACACTCCGTTTTTCCTGGAAGAAGGATTGCCCTATTGCGAAGCTGGTTAATATTTTTAATTATCATAATCTCATTTACTTAATAATAATTAATCATAAAAGATATATAGTATGAGATTGATACATAAATGTAAAGTAATTTATTTTAAAATTTTGATACGTCGTCATTATATTCAATACGTTTTTTTTTCAATGTTTTGTAATTTTTATTTATTTAATTATTTAATTAACTATCAAAATTAAGATTGCTAAAAGAAAATTAATGAATAATCTCTTCTTTACAGACTGGAATGAGCTGTTTACCACGAAATGTTTCGCATGTGGATTCCCAGTCGAGGCTGGAGATCGTTGGGTGGAGGCCCTAAATAACAATTATCACAGCCAGTGCTTCAATTGCACGGTATGTAACAATAAATTACAACTTCAAGACTTGTATTTTTTATTTTAATCTACTTAAATTTTCAAAATTTTGTCAACTTTCTAATGTATCAAAAACTGCAATTTAAAGTAATATGTAGTTTTTTACGGTTTGTATTAAATGTATATCTCTTTATTAACTTATCAGATGTGCAAGAAGAATCTTGAGGGACAAAGCTTTTATGCGAAAGGCGGTCGCCCGTTCTGCAAAAATCATGCACGTTAAGATCACATACTCTCGACCATCGCAAATGATCGATGGGATGATGAGAAGAGACGAACAGGAAGAGCAAACTAATGAAGAGGAGAGTCTAACGAAAATAAGAAACGTACAGTGTTAATACACGGATTACATTATCGTGATTACTTTCTTTTTTTGTGTCTTGACCGAAATTATTTCACTAACCCATTGTCAAATCCGCGAGGAATCTTTCATATAAGTAATATAACTACGAAAATACAGGATCAATTAGGGTGATTTTGACGAAAATAATCTTTATCATTGAGCCTGATAACGAATTGTAATATTGTTAAAAGTGTTAATTATTTATAGAATTAGATATCGCATAAAATGATATTTATATATATCATTCAGGAACACGAATAAAGATAAAATCTTGAAAAAAGTGACGAATTATATTATTAATATGAAATGATATTATTTTTTTCCAGTGTCACCAATCACCCTGATTAATTCTACACAATGCACATTTTCACGAGACACTAGTAATGCCTTGCGTCGTCTGGCTACGAGAGAGTTATTAATTAATATTTATTATCTAGCTTAATTAGGAATGTGCGACGCAGGAGGACCAACAATCATTTCAATCCTAAAAAGATCAACGGAGACGCGCACACACAATCTCCGTTTCCTATTAATGAAGTTTATTAATTTATTAATTAATTTTTTTTATTTATAAGCACATAATACGACACAACACACATTCAAACGGTATATAGTTTCTTTTACTCAAATATTCCTTGAAAAAACGGCATTATATGTAATTTTATAGACATCGCGACTTGCGCTAAAAATTTATTCGTGCTTTGTAAAGTTAAAAATGATCTTGTGTCTGTAAAAACGTGTCTGGTTTTCATTTACAATTTTATTTCAAGCCATGATATTGAATATATGAAACGTCGCGACGTCGACATCGCGAGCAAGCGGTATAATTAATTACGGTTGATGACATATCCTTGCACTTTGCGGTTCCCATTTAATAACAGGAGATTAAATCACGAGCCTTGCAGAGCTAGTGAAATACCTCGTAAAATCGTTCAGTAGGAAACACTGGAACGATACTACACATAACGGATACACCGCGAGTAAAGTCGTCGTTTTCTGATCACGGATCACGCAAAGGTCACCCGAGCAATTAGTATTATGTGAGTTAAATATCGCATAATTTTGTACTTCCAAGGTGCATCGGGATGCAGCGAACGTTAACAAATGTCTCGGATGGCATTCCATTTCTCAATGATCTACGATGACGATGAGAGAAAGAGAGAGAGAGAACACAATCAAGAGAGAATTAGATGAATGATTCATGAAGACGATTGAAAGGAAAGTGTGAACGATGAATGAATGTGTATAAAGAGAGAAATCGCACAGTTTTGATCAATTAAAATTGTGTACGATTACAATGTATTAGATTTGTGTTGAGAGATAGGTAACTTCGATGATTAACGATAATAATCAAAATCAGTTCAAGCAATTTCACTTCGCTGATGCATTCGCGTTTATTCCTGTGAGAAATTGGATCCTTTTACTATTAAAGTTTATTATCGCTACTTTCAGAACGATCATTTAATCATAAATTATATTTCAGATTTACCTTAATAAGCAATCAAACATATGTTTATTATTATTTTAAATATATAATTATAAATAATAACTATATATTAATATAAAATATTATTTCTTGATAAAGTAAAAGGATTAATCTCTAATCATACTCCAAAATTATTATTAATGAAAATGTCATAATAACAATATTATCATTGAATCATCAAAACTTTTCTCAACAAATTAAAAAAAATTATGCTCCAAGATATGCTAGTCAAATGTTTAAAATTTTGTTCTTAAAACATTATGTATAAATATTAAGTATTTGAATTAATATCGATAAATTGTTCTTAATTCATAGACAAAGAAAAATATACATGAAAAAAATAACAAGTAATATCTATTAATTTATGAGAATCAGCCCGGCATATTGTGTATATAGATTGTTAACGAGTAACCGAAGATACTTAATAGCTTTACTAAATCGATGACGAGCAGATATATATTCTCAGTGCATGCAAACTTTATCATAAGTCATCCGTCGTACCCTGGAATCGGCCGATTAAAGCTAAGACTGATAACAGGTTCAACATGCATTCGGGCTTTCATTTAATCAAACGATCGATCCGTCAGTTGAAAAAACGAAAGGCTGAAATTCGCACGGTAGGAACGACCTGCCGTGTGCTTTCACTGACAACTCTTAGCTCTTTAAACTCTTAGCTACTGTGATTTGTGACATCAATTCTTCATAAGAAAAAAAAATTCTTTAAAATTATTACTAAAACTCCTAATTTAAATTCACGTCTATACATTTTTGAAAAGTTATATTTCTAGTTGATTTATTTTTAATATAATTTCCTTATGCTAGATTTTAGACGTATACTCGTACAATATGTATGTAGATCTATGTTTACGATTTCTTTCTTGTGAAGACAACAATAATTGAATTTCTAATTTAACCCTGCAATCAGTTATTTATTATCTATAATCTTTTTCTCAAGATATGAAAATGCATGAGAACGATATATATCTTCGCTCCGTTTTACGAAAACATAGGGACTCAAATGAGATAATTATCATATTATTATGTTACTTCTAAACGAAGTTACCGAATTTTTTGTGCCATCTGCGCGAGTTTCTGTTATTGTGTAGTCCTAGTTTCTGTGAATGAGAATGAGCAAAAAAAGAAAAAAAGAGAAAAAGAGATTTCGACAAAACTCGTCTACTTGTGGTATATAGTATAATCCTATAATTATATAGTGCGCATAAATGTGTTTTAAACTATGTTCACGGCAATTCTGCAAAAAAAAATAAAATAAAATAAAAAAAGTATATTGTGCAAAGGGAATTCTTGATTTTCAGGGAATTTCGTGTTATGTGTTGCTTATAAAATAAAATAAAGTATATTTACTCAAAACTTATTCTCTGTCTTTCCTATCCCGCCAACACACACATGAAGTATTTAGAGAAATTAAACAGCATCATTATCTTAAAGTTTAATAATAAATATGAAATACGTTATACATTTTTCTGTATTATAAACTTCGTTATTAAATTTAATGAGCGTAAATAATTGAATTACGTAAAATTTAGAAGCTGTTATGCAATATAACAAGAAGAGCTTGTTTTCAGAAACGGTTTTAATCTACCAAACTTATAATAATATGCGAACAAATATAATTATTGCTATGCAGTTTTAAGTTATATTACGAAATTTCGGAAGCTCATCGAAATTATGTGAAAAGAGTTTCCAAGGTTCTCTTATCAGTCAAAGCGAGTTTTATGGGAGATTCGCGTGTTACACCGAGGTGTATAATAAAAACCAGTAAAGTAGTTCATGATAAAACGTACAAGAATGTCGTACGATTATTTACGAGTGTTATTTACAACTGACATTGGATACTTCAATGAGTAGAAGAATCGATTGAATTCTCAATTTTATTTTTAGACAAATAAGGCTATGGAACTATCAAATGTATATATCGGGCGTTATTTTTATTTAACGAAAGAGATCAATGCACAATCGAAATATCGCTCTTCAATATAAACAACTAGACTAATTTTTCCATATTTAAGAGAAACAATCTCTGCACTGTCTCATCGATTTGTCATTAGTATTGCCTTGCGGTACCTGGCCGCTTCTGAAGACAGATATGAAAAAAAATTTTGCCTTTCAAACTTCTAAAATACTTTATAAATAAAAACATGAAACGTTTACGAGTTAAATAAAAACCAGAATCTTATTAAAAAAGATAAAGAAATTTTTTAGAAAGCGAATCTTTTACAAAAGTAGGACTTTATATAAAAGCAGAAAAAATATCTGTCAAAAAATATTTAGTCTTAAGAAAAAATATTTCAAATTTTACATTCGCAAATAAAAATTTCATTTAAAATTTAATTTAACATTACTTCATAAAACATTATTTAACTTTATTGTATGATCTTAAAATTATGTACAAATCCTCACAATTTATAGAAAATTATTTATACTCATAGTATTATATTTGTCATCAGAAAGTAGCTTTCTATAGCTTTCTTTCTCTCTCTCTCTCTCTCTCTCTTTCTTTGCTCATCTATACTTCATCTCTAAATATAATATTGAATATTCCAGTGTGTCCTATTACTCCTTTGCACGGATCCTTGCGACAAAAAGTATACGGTGAGGAATTTAATTCAAAGCGAGACATTTGACATTTGACATCAAGTTGTGACGTCGGTATTACGTTCGCTCTTTCTTGCGTCGATTTTTCTATTCCCTGAAATATTATACGTTTAATCTTCTTCTTTAGGTATTTAATCTATAGTTGTCCTTCGAACACTTAATTGTCAAAATTTTAACTGATTATTAAGCATATCATTTCGCAGTGATAAAAACGTTTCCACGAAATCAAGATAATTGGACATCCTAATTAGACATAATTGCTAAAGCTTAAACATTTTTCAAGAACGCTAATTATTCTTGTATCTATCTATCGTCGCGTGATATCTGACAAATGTCTTCTCTCTCATTCACGGAGTTTCCATAAATATCAATTATAATTATCCCTCATTATAGTTAAAAGTGCGTCACGTTGGTCTTTAAAAGCACGCAGTTGTTAGAGAAATATTCAATGTCACATTCAAATTTGAAACTATTGTTAGAACGTTGATATATAATATGACAGTGGTGGAATAAATTTTATAGTTTAAATTAATTAGAAATGTTAATCATAATAATTTTACGCATTATTTGATTTTGAAAAGTTGACAAATATTTTTCTAAAAACTACTTTATTTCCTGAAATTCTAATTGTAATAGACCATTATATACCATTATATACCATTATATTATTTTGATACTTTATTGTAATATGTTCACTTTATTCTAAATTTTAGAGTTATAAATCAAAAAGTTGATAATTTAAGAAATGGAAAAGAGAAAAAAGTAATATTAATATAATATACATACAACTGCATTGTATTATATTCTGATTTCAGTGTATTGTGTTTCAAATTAAGGTCTAAAGTCTCATTAACTGGCATTTCTGGGTAGAGAAAATAATAATGCGCGTCGCGTGCTTCTAATAACCTTCCATAAATTCGTATTATCTAAAGTCTCTCGGATCCTTTCACAATAAGCTACTTTTGACCGCCTACTATTCGGCACTCTCTTCCGGCGTCCTTGCCGACCTTTGCGGCCATTCGCGGCGGAAAGCACATAAAAGCTGCAAGCGACTCACAGGTAACCTGCGCACCTGCGAACCAGTCGAAAGCGATTGCGTAGATCGGAACGTGGTTGTGCATCAGTGAGAATCGAAATCCCGCCTTGTCCACACACGCTATCTTAACGAGAAACATCGCGGACAAAAAGCTTCGATATATCGAAATCACGAATGACTTTCGACTTGTCGAATCGAAATGGCAGGCACAATTATCAGTGAAATTATTACCTTTGCTAATTACGACTGCGTAAGTTCTTGTGATCAGAGTTTTATAAATAAGATTATAATTTATAACAAATGAGATATTTTTATAAGATATTTTCTGTTTTATTCAAAATATATTATTTGTATTGTTATTTTTCTTCTTTCATAAATTTATATTATAAATAATATATTTCAAATATTTTTAACATTTAAAATTATTAATTTATATAAATTTGTAAGTAATGTAATGTAATCTTTATTTCCAGATAACTTTCTAAGGATTAAATATTATCGATAGATGTACATAACTTGCAGAGGTAAGTTTGTATATCTCCTACTTTCTATGCTAATACCGAGGGCCAAAATAAAGAATGCAATACACGTGGCATCGTTCGTGACTTACGCGCACTTTATGTGTTTGAAAACGTAACAAACTTGTCCCTGATATTGAGTTGTACTTGCACAACGCACATGCAAATGTTACTAACGTATCAAGAGATATATAATGCAAAATGTACTTTATTGTAAAATTCATATTAATTAATTATCTCACGCTTGATTCGTTGACTAATTTCGTTCACCACTTATATATAATATCAAGTACTAAAAACGAATCTACAACTCGTTATTGCTATTTTTATCTAGAAAGTTTAAATTATCTACAGTCATAAAATATATCTATGTTTATCTATTTCGCGCCGCTTATTGTTAGTAAAATTATATTTATTAAACTTTAGATAAGGATAGTTATTTGCTTTCATTGATACTTGTAATTTTTCATAATTTACAGTAAAAAAAGATCTGAAATTATATTATTTCATTTTTCGAAAAAATTAAGATAAAATAACAATCTTGATTTATTAATAAAAAAATTTGTTAATTTCTCAAGAGACAATAGAAAGTTGAGAAAATCTTGTAACTAACTTATCATCGCGTTTGCTAATATAAATATCTATATTTATATTAATTATTTAATTAATTAATTTTCTTTTTTTAGACTATAGCATGTCATTAATACATTTATGTGAAATGTATTATGTATAATGTAACATTGATGTAAAATGTATTATGTGTAATATAACATTGATATAAGCCAGCCAGAAAGAGATTTGTCGTATTTATTAAATATATTAAAAAATATGGTGCTTCGGTATGGCAGTGAAATGCACGGAAGGCCCTTTTGTGTTCAGATTAAATGAAAACGGTACCGGGCCGCATCTACTTGTGCAGGTACAGTTTTAATTGCATTTTCCACAATTCTACAGACGAGTGATCGTTGATAAGATTTTCGATAAAGCACAAACGCAAAACACAAACGAAATCATAGACCGAGTGCTCCGATCTACACGTAGAATCTCTACACGTCATTCGTTCGTTTTTGCACGAGCGTCAAAGTTTGCACGAGCGTTGGCGCGCGATGCATCGCGAACAATCGATTCGATTCGACGCGAAAGGTCGTCAACTCCGACGGAAAACGTATGTAGTACACACGATATGTAAACGCGGAGGTAGGTGCCTCCTAATTCAGCTTTTATATCCCTTGGAATTCCTTCGCGATACAATTACAAACTTAGACCTTAGCGCCCTTGAACCAAATACTTTTCAAGGTACACGATATACATATATGCATACCTGCAACGCGCCTCTGCGTGCATGTGCCGTTTTTAGACGCAACGATTAGATAAGTGCGACATGCAACGATAAAAAAAGCAGAAATTGGAAGATTTGATTGAATTTTGCTGAAATCTTCGACATAAGATTTCTCATTTTCATGCTATTTCATTGTATTTATATTAACATGTTATTTTACTTTTTTTTCTTCTCATTAAACTTTATTAAGCTTGAAAAAGCCATTATTATTTAAACAATATCGCAATTTTTTAATGCTACTAAATTTATAATTAAATCAAATTTAAGGAGATCTTTATTTAAGAAGAAGATTTAAAGTCCAATTCAAACAAATAAAATGACTTTGTAAATAAATTGTAATTAAATATTTAATCGCTTACGCGTGAAACTATGTGTTTTCTTTATTTCAAATAAATTCTAAATTCATAAAAAATAGATCAGGGAATGCATTCTATATCAACAATCTAATTATAATAATCAGAAAAATTTTTCATTTTCAATCATTAACATATAATATTATAATACTTTTAAATATTATTATATTATATGTAAATTCGAAAATAAAACGATGCAAAAAGATACTGCAAGTGATCAAAAAGCTCACTAGAAATATTAAACATGAAGTTAGTGCTATACGAAATTACCTCGTTCAACTTTATTTAAAATTAGGCCAATTGCTCGTTTGCCTTTGATAGTTAATAGCGGTCGAGCAAAATAGAGCAAAAAAGATTGAGTTATCCGTGAAAGGACAACTTAAAAAATGGAAGATTGCCAGTGACAGCAGTCTTTCGTATAATTCACGAGTCATTCGGAGTTTGCATAAATGTGTTTAAAATCAGAGTTCGTTCAAGACTCGGAAAATAGTTCAATCGTTTCGTACAATGTACGCTTAATCAAAATTAAATAATAATATACCTTGTGTCAAATACTATAGAATTTACAATTCCATTGCATGTTGCAAAAAAATCTAAATATATACTGCATTTAAGAAATTATCTTTCAAATCCGAAGACATATTAAATTATAACGTTAAATTATTATGTTAAACAAACATAGGTTCAATTAAATGTATACATGAAATTGATAATTAATCTCGACTGGTTTAACTACATTCGTAATCTCTTCCCAATTACTTCGCATAATTAGAGAATTTCCAAATTTTTTTAGTCATATTTTTTACGAATTATTTTTTGCAAAAACGTGTAATCTTATAAATATAAAATATTTATTTTAAAACAATTTAATTTTAAAGTAATTCGAGAATAAGCTCTTCAATTAAAGTGATGCACGTGTAGTCGTATGATGATTTAATTGTAATCACAGACCTTGGCTCATTTTTAATACTAAGAGCAGTCATTCCTAATGTTCTAATAACACGACAATAAATCAAGGGCGGCCATCACTATTTTCGTGTCTCACCCTTAAAAGTTTCACGAAACTTCGAAATGCGTAGTTTAATATCTAGAATTAATGAATTTACTTTCGCGCGGTTACGGAACTGTAAGTGGTTCCGCCTATCAATTTAGCCAATTATAGGAACCAATGCAACATGTATATCTATATATAGGTATGAATTAAATAGATATCGATTACGATATTTAGGTTGGTAACTGATATATATACAAGCGCATATTTCGCGAGATACTAAAATAAGTTATATGCATTTCGAATTTATTTATAAGAATATTTGTATCCACGAATCGATTGTGTGTGCATCGATAAAACTGCTATTTTTATCCAACATAATCTATATGAGTAGACATAATCTATATGAGTTACATAAAAAAATAGTATGCTTCAATTTAAAAAAGTTGTGAAACTATGAATATGTGAAACGTACACATATAAATAACATATAAATGCAATAATATGTAATCGTATAACATATTGATAATTGCAAGGCTGCTAAAATTGCGCTCATTGCAAATTTCCAAAGAATAAGAGCTACATTCTACCATAGCACTTTTTTACATCGTTGAAACATATTTCATATTATACTTACTGTTGCAAATAATCTAGATCAGGTGCGCTTTTGCGTTGCCATTTAGCAACGGAAAAAAATGAGCTCGAACACGCATATCGACATCCGACAGATTATAAAAAATATCTGGCACTTGGAATAACTGTCGAGCCAATATTACTCTTTCGCTCTATTCGCGAATTTTCTTCTACAGGTTTGCACGGAACGGGGGTGGCGAGAGTATGCCGGCGAAAATAATGTATTCAAAGATCGATGGAATTTATGGTGGCGGTCCGGTGGTTTCCCACATCGCATTATAGGCCATTACTCCCCTGGCAGGTAATAATGCAATATTTCTACCCGCGTTTTAAAATCTCCATCCAAAATATTAACAATAAACATATATTTCACATAAAATTGCAAAAATAGCAAAAAATTTTTCCTTTAAATGTTTTTGCAGTTCTTTATTATAACAAATAACTTTTTAACTAAATAAAAATAAATTTTAAAAATCTATATAAAATGTCAACTATGCATTTAAATTGTCTCTTAATTATATCCGTTTAGATAATTTAAAATAGTTAAAACTTTAATCTCAGAACTTCAGTTAGATTATTTTTCGAGCAGTTTGTCAATCGGATTCCAAAAGGAAATTCCATTTGCCGAAAAGATAAACTGATCCGTCACTTGAAATGTATGAAAAAAGTCCATGGTCCAATTTATGACTTCAGGTATTATGACTGACAGACTTTAATTGTTTACTTGTTATTTTTCTATTATATTTAAAATATAATTATCTTTTTCTAACGATATTATTTTGTCGTATTAGTCCCACAGGATATAACTTGCCTTCCGAATACACGAAATTGGCCGAAGAATGTAGTCGTTATGAAAAGGATTACAAAGTTTGGATCTGTAAACCAGTTGGGCAAAGTCAAGGAAAAGGAATTTTTTTGTTTCGTGTAAAGCTTCTCTTTAAAAATATATCAGTGTAAATAAAAATACAAATTGCATAAATTAAATACAAATATATCTTTGCAGAAATTAAGCGATCTCTCATACGACAATGCCGCAGTTGCGCAAAGATATATCGAGAATCCTCTCCTAATTGGTGGATACAAATTTGATCTTCGTCTATATGTGTGTGTGCCATCATATCGCCCATTAACAATTTATTTATATAAAGAAGGTTTAGCCCGTTTCGCTACTGAAAAATTTTCTTTGGAACGATTGGACGATCCATTTCGACATCTTACGAATTTTTCCCTAAACAAATTGGGACCAGGCTATTCAGAGAAAAAGGAACGCGTTGGTGCTGGTATTTGACGCTAATTTTATTTATATTAAAAAAAAAACATTTTATTGAATCGCAATTAATTAACTACACATGTAAGACATTACATATACATATTTATACACTAAAATATCCAAAAAATGTAAATTATATTTAAAAAATTTTTTGTTTGATTAAATTTTTGTTAAAATTTTGTAATTTATTTTTGAAACGTATTTATATGTTATATATTTATATATTATGTATATATTAATTTTAATAGTTAGAAATTTGAATAAAAATTTTATTAAATTTATATATTGGATATAAAATTAATATCAAACAAAAAACTTTTTCAAATATAATTCACATTTTTAGATATTCATGTATACAATATGTGTAATGTCTTACATGTCTCAATTTTATTTTTCATTAATGTTTTGTTCCTAATAAATTATGTAAAAATTAAAAAACAAATTGAACTAGTACATAATTTTCTCATCTTTACATAGGGTGCAAATGGACATTTAGACAATTAAGAAGGTATTTCGAGCAATCAGGACATTTCGATTGGATTCTATGGCAAAGAATTTCTTGTTTAGTGACTTTAACAATTCTAAGTCAAGCGGCAGGTATTCCTAAATCCTCGAATTGTTTCGAATTTTTTGGTTTTGATGTGTTAATTGATGAAAATTTGAAACCATGGCTCTTAGAGGTAAATGTAAATAGAAATAATTCAATTAATTCAATGAATAATTAAATCCAAACAATCGTAATATAATGCAGAATTTATCTAACAAATTAAATTACAGGTGAACTTAAGTCCGGCTTTGAGTAATGACTGTGAAGTTGATTCGGAAGTGAAAAAACCTCTATTGCATGATTTATTTGATTTATTGGGTCTTCCAGTATGTAATACTGGACTTTCCCTGTTCACAATCTGGTCCTCCTCTGATCGCGTTGAAGAGGACGAGAGAGAAATGTCTTCCAAATTTAGTCGCTCCACAAAAAGGAAATCGAAACTCGGACGAGAAACCGATGCTTTTCTCAATTTTTCTCCGGATACCCGAACCATAGTAATAAATAAAATTATAAAAATAATATTTTTACTAGACGAGAAACATGAAAATGATAGTTTTAAAGATGATTGAAATAATAATTAATAATGTTATTAAAAAGGATTCATGTTTAGAGTACTGTTTATTCGAAAAAAATTACTGTTTAATCTTAATTTTTTCTCAGTTAAGACAATCAACGCCAGAAATCTGTTCAACTACCTGGTCTCATTACAACCCGCTATTAATGGACAAATATATACATCGAGGATATAAAGGAAATACAATCGAGAATTACGCTTCTAAAACGATTTGGGATAATGGTAGAGATTGGAGAGTTTCCTGCGTAAAAGAAGGCGGATGGATTCGTATTTGTCCATTTACTCGGATAAAACATATTGAAGATACGAAAAATGTAAAACCATCACCAAGAACTGTTGAGAACGAGATCAAGAATATGGTTGTTTCTATACAAAAGTAATTTTATTTTATTGAAATCTTTACTTATTGAAATTTTTATTATTAATTATGTGCTATCACACGTGTCATATTTCAGATTTAACTTTTTCGATAAATAAAAAATTTTGTCATAAAATGTAGTGTTAACAAAATTCTCTACATGTCTAAATGCCAAAAAAATATGTGCAATAATCATTTAATATATATTTTATCCCATAGGTACTTAAAAGCCGCAAAGGAAGTGGAACAAAGAAACGAAAAACTCACAGATGAACAATGCAATGCTCTTCTGCAAAATGCGCTTGAATTAAATACAGAAGTTTGGCTGCCAGAAAAGTAAAAACCTAGAAGTCTGCGTTTTTTGCTCACGCCCACTATTTTCACATCTATTTACTGTTTATGCTTGTTAACTATAGCATATTATTTAAAAAATATTTTGTACAACTATGTACAATGTAGATTATAATGAACGTGCATTTTTATTCCATCGATCTTTGTATATATTGTACGTTGCATTTAATATATTTCAAAATAATTAATTGCAAAATTTTATGCAACAAACAATCAGACATTTAGTATTTACATTTAGCATTAAATGTAGCAGTTTCATGCTCAACTCACAAATAAAATTATTTTATTACAACATAATTGTTTTGTAATTTAATAATAATGAGAGTGTATTATAATTCCACGAAAAAATGTTTAATTTTAATCTAGATTTAAATTATTAAAATTATTCTTATTTTTATAATTATTAGCTATTAGATATATACCACTTAAAATTTAAAAACTTTATTATGATATCAAATTATAATTATTTTAATGTATAGTTATATATAATACTTTCATATGATAATTTTATTGTATATATATGTTTATATAATCAAATTTATTTTTTATATATAAATTTATAATTATTCTTACAGATAGCCACATTTAGCACCAAATGCAATATGCGTAAATATATATACGGCCTTCAGCCAACAATAAAAGCAAATTACTCACCAAATCTCGTAGCATTTCACCGTGTAATAGTTGTTTCTTTGATCTTCAATTTTCGACTCTTTTTCCGCTTCATCGTAGAGTACATGGATGAAACTCCTGAAAACACGAATAAATCATTGTTACTGTCATACAATCGATCATATATCTAATACTAAATGTAAGATTTTATGCGGTCGTTAATCAAGAATAGATAATTAAACAAATTGCTCACCGAAATTCACCGTGCTGTTTCGTATTGCATATGTGATTCCTATGTGTAGTTGTCCGTGCGATCACTCGTGTGACCCCCAATTTCGGCGGATTTCTCTCGCTTCGAGCGAACACGAATTTCCGCTTAAAATACGCGACAATAATTACTCGCGGACGTAAACGAATACAATGCAACGATAATACAACACTTGATTTGCCATTCTCGACGTAAATTGACCCGCCCCTCAATATTTAATGATTAAAATCTGCGAAAAATCTTGACCGCGATTCAACACCGACTTCACTGTCGCCGAGACGAATATGGCCGCCGATGCGCATGCGCCCGCAGCGCCCACTACAACAATAATGCATGAATATATTTTAAATTTAAAATGTGTGTCGAAAGAGATAAATATAATTGTTAAATATTTTTCTATAAAATACATTATACGCATTTTTTATAAATGCAGATTTCTAAATAATAAATTAATTATAACAGTTTGAATTATTGTAACAGATATATAAATAATTACGCAAAATTATTTAGATATTTAGAACAATGAAATTTCAAGTCAAAACTAGTAACATTGTCCAAATTTCATGAAATACTAGTATAATAAAAACTTGTATAAAACATTATCTTTTTGAAGTGACAAATAAAACATATAAATTGAATTTTTTAGTATGTCACAAATTGTACGCTACATATACATATAATATTATAAAACATTCTTAACTATATTTTTATTAATTTAATATTCTATGTATTTTTTTTATCTTTGAACGTTGTTTTTAACTTTCTACGTATATTACACTTATAGATGTCAAACTATCATAACTAAAAATTTTAATGCACAAAAATCTAAATGTTCATTGTATTTGATATAACTTTGTTAATAATTGTATCTAATTCTACTCTCTCCCTTTCTCTATATATGTTAACAAATAAATGAAACAAAATAAAAACTTAGAATAACATTACATTATCATTTAACAGTTTTTAATAATAGAGGTAATATTATTAGTTTGTCGAAGTAGGAAAATGGATTACTATGATGGATTTTAAGTGTATGTTGAAAACGACGAAGTATTAAAAATTACCAAGATAAACTCGGTTTATTGAATATTTTCTTGAAAATTTACATATTAGTTTACTCCTTTCGCCGCTAATCTCTTGTCACGTTCTTCGGCAATCGACAGTTTGACACCTTTATCTCTTGGTAAACTCACATAAGCTTTTGTGCCTTTGCCAATGATGAAGACATTATTCAATCTGGAAAATTACATTGCATATTGAAAACAATTTAAACGTTTATTATTATTGCTAAAAATAAACTGTTTTAATAACTGTTAAAATAAACATGTGTTGTTTCCCCTGAGGGTAATACTGAAAATCTATAAAGATAGTCAGTGACCATATGAAGAGGAATGTATTCTTTATTCTTTAATCTTGGCCTATTTTTGACCATAATACATAATATATATATGTATCATAGCTTCGATATGGCCATAATCTTTTAAAAAATATATAAAACCTTGTAGATTTGTTAAAACGTAAATGTAATTAATGATACCGTAAAGCAAGTTCTTTTTTTAAATAAAATGTGTACTGTAAAGCCAGAGATATATAATTACAAAATTAATATACTTATAATTAGAAATAAATCAATAACACTTAATAAACATTAAAATTTATAAAAGTAAAACACATTTCATGTACCTTGTGGCAAAGGTATGTCCTTGCGCATCTTTTATGTGGCAAATGTCGAAAGATCCAGGATGACGTTCACGACTGACGACAGTACCAACACGACCCAAATTCCTTCCACCAGTAATCATGCATAGATTGCCTGATAAACAAAAGAGAATTATATTCACAATAATTTCTTTTTTCTTTAATATATATGTGTAGTATTTTTTATAATAATTAATTAATTTATTATTTAAAAAAAATATTATTTTAACATTAAGAAAAATAATCACCGGAATCAAATCTGATGGAATCCAAAATTTTGCCAGTAGCAATATCCAGATGAATAGTATCATTGACTTTTATGACAGGGTCGGGATAGCGGATTGTTCTGCCATCATGTGTTACCAGAAATGGTATCCCTTTGGGACCAGTCTGAACACGCTTTACCTTGCACAATTTGTACTGTAAAATACAATGTTATATATAAATATAGAACATAATACTTTATATTTAATACTTTACAAATACTTCACTAATACTTATAAATAGTTGCATATGATATTAAACAATTATTGTTAACAATTATTGTAAGATAATTACTTTTGCTTCTTCAGCAGTAATACGATGAGTGGTGAAACGTCCCTTCACGTCATAAATCAAACGGAAAAATTCACCTGTCTTCTCAATTGTAATAACATCTGTAATATTTATTATAATACATTAATATTTATTATAATAAATTATGATATACTTAATGAGTTTATAACATTTGTTGTTTCTTTTTTAGATAATACGAAAAATCTATAATGATAATCAGCAACTATAAAGGAATTTATTCTTGGCCTATTGCAATTATATAATAGCTTCAATGTGACCTATTTTAATTTCTTTTATACAAAATAATATAAAATATGTGTAAAAGATAATAAAAGCACTTACCCATAAAACCAGCAGGATAGTTGGCATCAGTGCGAATCTTTCCATCAACTTTAATCAAGCGTTGCATTACGATCTTAGTAACTTCGCAATTAGTCAAGGCATACTTCAATCTATTACGAAGGAAGATAACCAAAGGGAGAGATTCCCTGAGTTTGTGTGGACCAGTGGATGGTCGGGGGGCATATACACCCCCAAGTTTATCCAACATCCATGCTTTAGGCGCATTGAGACGCTTGAGATGCTTCTTTGGACCACGAGCCTAGAAGAAAAATGATAAGATTAGTATGTAAATTTTTCCATTAAAAAATTAGATTTTCTAAAAACTAGATAATATAGATTTAATAAATCAAAATATTTTATCACAGTCAAGTGTGCAAAATTATTAATAAATAACATATTACATGTTTGAATCAATAACTTTGTAATTATAGTTTTTCTAAAGTCTTCTGTTCTTTTAACTAAAAAAATTATTCAAATCTCTTAAATTTACACAGAACATTAATATTTACAACAATCTTATTGCACTTTTTTCTACGTTGACAAAAAAGTTAGGTTATGCACAAATTTAGGTAACATTTAATTCCACTTCAATTGAATCAATTAATTTAAACGCGAGCGAAATTGTAGGTTTTTTTCAGAAAATTAGTGAAAAAAACATTGAAAATAATAATGCAATGAGAAGCATCAGAAGAAGTCAAGAAGCATTCATTAAAAAAGACCAAAGCAGAGCAAGCGCATCAAGATGTAACAATTATTTTCCTAGCAATAAGACGGATATAAGAATTTATAAACGTCTCATCGATCACACGATAATGTGTACAACAATTTTCTCTCGTGTATCAAAAAGATTCACATCACATACGCGTGATGAAGACAGATTTCACGACCCATAGCACCTTACCATCTTGGACTTCTAACCGGAAAGGACACGAGGACTCACGTCGGTTCAGAAAATTCGCGATACCATTGTAGTCGATACGGTCCGAAACTGTGTCATTCAATAGAGAACGGAAACCAAGCATCAAATCGCGACCGAACAAAGTCACTAGAAATGCGAGCGCCTGATTGGCTGACATTCTGATTGGCTGCCGCGCGATTCTCTGTACACGAGTATTAACAGTTTTGGCGGTCAAAACACGGGATACTCTTGACACGAGCACATTTGAGTTTCATTATTGTTTGTGTTATAACATGTAAGTTACATTAAATATTATAATAAACAGTTGTAGAGCCGATTTCCTCGCGTATATACGTCAACGTTGCTCCAGCGAAGCGTTCGAGATGAAGGTCGAGGTAAAATATTTCATTAAGATAAGATATATTATTTAACCTTCAATTTTTAACACAGAATTTCAAAAAAGATCAAAAGAATTAAAGAAAAATGGCCATATAAAAACAAAGACTCAACAGTTAAATCTTGTATTAATAAAATTTATATTATTAATACTATATAATATATATTAAATATATCATGATAATACAAATCATACATTAAAATAGGAAAAATATATTTTTGTCGAAGCATGAGAAGACGGAAATAAAAGATTGAATAGCTTGATTAAATTGCAAAATTACAAATTTCGCGATGTGCATGCACAAATGAATAAACAATTGCATGAAAAAAATGAGATAATAAACAGTCTGGCTAAATGATCGATCAGTCGAGATGAGTTTTCCGGCGAAATCGATAAAAAAGCCGGACGATACAGTGATCCGAAACTACGTCATGCGATAGAGAACGGAAATCGAGCAAAGTCACTAGACATGCGAGCGCCTGATTGGCTGACGTTTCTGATTGGCTGCCGCGCGATTCTTTGTACACGAGCCTTAACAGTTTTGGCGGTTGCAACACGGGACACTTTCGGCACGAGTGCATTTGATTTTCGTTATTATTTGTGTTATATATTTAACATGTAAGTTACATTAAATATTATAATAGACAGTTGTAGAGCCGATTTTCTCGCGGATATACGTCGAACGTTGCTCCAGCGAAGCGATCGAGATAAAGTTCGAGGTAAAATATTTAAGGTATCATATAACCTTCCATTTTCATAAAATTTACAAAAAAAAATAATTAAAAAATGGGCATATAACAACAGGAATTCAACAGTTAAATCAACAAAATTAATATCATTAACACTATATAATATATATTAAATATATCATATATGATAATATACAAATTATACGTAGAAATATTTTTTTCGAAGCACGAGAAGAGACGGAATAAAAAATTCACCGATGCGATTAAATTGCAGAAATAAAAAATTCGCGATATACACAAGAATGAATAATGACATTCTTATAAAAAAATAATGAGATAAACAGAGTCTGTCATCGGTCGATAAAAAAGCCGGACGGTGGCCGGCCACTCTCTCGCGGCTGAAAAGGGTCGATCCCCTTTAATTGCGCGAAACAACATGGCGGAACGCGCTCCCGCGCCGGTACTGCCCCGTCTCTCGCTGTGATTCGCGACACGGTATTCGGAGCTGCGGAAACGCGTGCGGAACGTACGCGCGTGCACAACAGGTCGCGTATACGGGCGCGGTGGCGGCTCTCTTCTACCTGTCAAAGCTATACACGTACGAACGGAGTAAAGGTATTTTCGCGCGTATTAACACGGCCGATTCTCTCTCGCGTTTATATTCTCGCGGAGCAACGTTCACGGCGTTCCTCGTCGTGGTCGTCGTTGTGTTAGTATATCGATCAGCATTCGTGTC